AGAAGACAACAATGGTGCTTGCCATAAGCTTGGAAGGCAACCAAGGAATAAATCTGTGTACTTAATTACCATAAACAATGGGGGCATAGAAATGGAGTTTTATGCACACTCCCTCCTGTAATGTGTCTGATATCAGAAGACACTTGACAATTCTTGTTCAATTATCTCTATTATTTAATGTGCTGTGAACTGCCTCTGAGTAAATAAATTAACCACCCCAATTACTTTGGATTCATCTGGGGAGGGCCGCTGCGTAATAGAAAATGCAGGAGAAAGCTGCATTGTGCCCAAACCTAGGGGAGGAGGGGAGGTGTGTGGAAAAGAAGGGAGCATTTCTTTTTTTTTTTTTTTTTGGGGGGGGGGGGGGGGCTGACTGGAGAAACAGATTCACAGGGATAAAAAAGGAATAGAGAAAATGTAAAGACACCCAGAGTGAGAACGTCTATCAAAAACACATGATAAGATAGGTCTTTTAATTTTTAGGTAACCAAATTCCTGGTGGAAAAGAAGAACAAACTCTTTACAGACAGAAAAAGAGAATCTCGAAAATAAAAGGGGAGAGAGAATGACAAAGCAAAAGCATGTGATATCAAAGAAAGGCATACTGTGGACCAGCAGAGCACAGAGGATGTTCCCAGGCTTTCTGCTGCTGGAGCAGAGAGATGAACAATCAGTCATGGGTCAGTCGGTCTGTCTGTTCACATCTGCCCGTCACTCCTGCAGCGCTCAGCGTTACCAGAGCACCACTGCACACTGAGCTCACCCAAACTTACCTTGAGAGGTCTGAATCATATGATCAGATTCACTGCTCTGATTACTCTGCACATCCCCGCTCAAAGAGTCTACTGAGAGTCTGAACTAACTGCTTGCTGGTCTGCGTATAAGCTACGCACATATGCATTATTTAACTGATGGCTAACTCTGAGTCAATCAAGTCTATTTGTGCACGGCTTCAGACCATATTCCAAGCTAAAGCTCTCCTGTCCTATAAACAGTAGCTTAGAGGGGGGGGGGGTAGGTTCACGGCAGGTTTTTCACCACAGACTGCCTATCACAACAAAAACGCAGCTTTGGCACTGCAATGGGAAAAGAAGAGGTTGTAATAGGAAACAATGATCAGAGAGCGTTTTCAGAATGTCCAACTCTCCTTCTCTGCCATCACGGAGTCTTTCTGCTCCTCCATCTCTAGCCTGACTGCACATAAGGTTATAAAAATGGGAAGGTGACACCAAAGCATAGCGTCAGTGCTATTTATCAGCATGACAGCAACGATCACAACAATGATCACAATGATGTCAGTGTTGGGTTTAGGTTGTTTATTTTTGAGGTAAAAAATTCACATACCCAAGGAGTGAAGTTATGTGCTAATGCTAAGGTTGATTAGCAAGCTACATCCAAAAACTGTACAAGTGCAGTGCACAGGCACACATCTGATGATTAGTGCTAACAAACCGACAAACAAAATCCTAGAAATCAGGCAAAAATGTCTCGGAACACACAGCAAGCCATATTATTATTCAGATTGTACCAATGAAATGCTTCAAAAGGCATCAGCAGCACAAACATAGTGGTGAGGACCAGTACAGGGACTTCAGTTAGCAGAGGTACAGCTGCCTGCGTCGGGACACCAGTCAATCAAAGCAGTCCCTACAGGTATCCCCACACAGTAAAAACACATTTTACCAGTCTGTTTTTACCTTACAACATAAAGCACCTTGAGGCAACCCTTGTGGTAACTTACACTGAGCTGAACTGAATTTTAACATGGGAGTCTGCTGTTTTCTTTCAGCCACAGGGTTTGTTTTTACACATGAAACACATGAAATTTCAAAAGAATCGGGTTGGAATATTTTCAACAAATTTATCAGACAGCAGGAAACAGTCTGATTCAACACACTCCTAACTGGAATAATAGTTTTGGAGTAGGAGCTGCAACATGTCTGCAAGTCCCAAAAAGTTTTAGGCTGCAGTACAAGTCTGAAAACTACTCATCTTTGTGATGATCCGTCAGTGCACCTCTTCTTCTGCGTTCTGACCCGAGTTGCCCTTCTGTTAAAAATCTTCATTTGTGTAGTTTGTCTAATCTTTTGCTGAGATCACAACTGAACTTAAGCTCAATTAAAACACTGAAAGACTGTGGCAAAGCTTGGCTGCTGGCTCACATCTCTTCATGTTCCATAAACATCATTTTACTCTGGATTAGGATATCTGAAATTAAAGCTGACAGTGGAGTGTGTGTATGAGGTTTTTATTTCTTTGTGTTTTTGTTTTGTTTTTTGAAAAAAAGAGTTCTGAAGGTGATGACAGCTTCACTCGGAGAAGAGTAGTGTTGGTTATTTGTGAAGCAGAGTGTTATCAAAAAAGAAGGCTACCTGCTCAGTCGACTTCCTTCACCAAAATTTTAGTTTTTAACAGCAGATCACGAGTGTGCCAAATCAGCACCACAACGTCACAAAACAAGGTTGTTAAATTAAAGTAGAGATGCCTGTTGCGTGTGATGACACTTGGTATGTATGTCTGTGCAGTGCCAGTGTAGTGTAAACCACATGGGCACGTGCACAGGGTGAGGCTGACGCACAACGGAGGCAGATTTCAGAACCAGTTATTAGGAGAAACACGAGACAAAATAATTTGACCAATAAACACACCGGTGTGCATACACTGAGTGTGCTCATTGAACAACTACCTGCAATGAATAAAACACTTTGGTGGACACTCTCCCTAACATGGTTGCGAAGGAAAAAGGTGTCCCACCCATTATGAGCAAGTTATGACTAATAAATTTTCTCCTAAGCGGATGCACGCAAGCAAGTCCACACTGGGTAAAAATTAAAGGATGGCTACCTGCCAAAGTAAGGCTGGCAAAGCAAATGATATTTAAACCAAAAATATTAGCGTTTGGTTAGTAGCTACTAAAAAGTCTTTCTATGATCCCTACTAAAGCACCAGTCAGATGTGACGGATCAATAGTAGATATACTGCTTACAGCCAATCAGGCACAACTTCTGATATTCTGGGTCCTGAGAAAAGAAAATCTCTCTCATCTCTGACGGCATATAGAAAGGTGACCTGAGTTGCTGAAGTGATAAAGGTTACTTTAGTGACCACCTGTCATGGGTGAGTTTCAGCCTGAAGACTCCAGACTTTGCCCAAAGGTTCAATCCATAACCTATCAGATGAGTGCTGCAAAATGAGATATGAAAACAGAAATACACTTTCAGGAAGTGAGAAACTTTCCCTCATTTGATGCGACATATTGCCAGTGTTGTACGGATCTGCCTTACATAATGACTACTTCATCATGAATATATAAATATCCTAACACATCTTTGATCAGCGACCAAATGTGACGCTTAAAGGTCAGTTTTATAGTATATAAAACGTACCATATCACCCTTATATATCCTGATAGTGTATCGACTTGTGGAGACCACATTTTTTCGATTTCATTCCACACTCATGTTAGGAGGAGATGAAAAGCGACCAAGGTGAATTTCTCTTCGTGATATCCTTTTATTATTTTGTCCTCGCCTTCCTGTCGTCGCCCTCTTCCTTTTCTAGTGAATCACATTTTCAGGAGGGGACCGCGGGTATATATATTTATATAAAGAAAAATCTTTATGGCTGAAGGTGTTTGAAAGTAAATAACCTGGCGTCTTGCTGGCTAGTTGCCGCTTTAACAGTGGGTGAAGAAGAAGGAGGGGAAAACCCCCCCCAAAAAAACCAGCCCTTCAGATTGACACAATGGCATGCGCTCCGACAGAGGGAGAGGGCACAGAGGCAGGGAGGGAGGCGAAAAGGAGGAAAACGACAACAACAAACAGAGGAGAGATATCCGCCATATCAGGATCCAAATGGGATGGGGAAGGTGAGCGCAAATCCCACCGCCCCAGTTTCCTTTCTAAAAACCCCTTCTTCTATCCTCCCCTGTGTTGCCTTTTTAGGATTTCGGGGGCTAAATCCACCAAGTTAGACGCTGATATATCAGAAAGAGCATGAGAGCTGCTTCTAAATTACTACAGCAAATACTGTACCTACACTCTCACAACATTCACAGACATCAAAATTTTACACTTCTTGGAACCATTTCCCCCCCCAGCAGCATTCTTGGGTGAGGAATGGGATGGTTTAGTATCACAAATAGGATGCTATTCTCCAATTTCAGTTAGGGACTCGACGGAGCCAAGGCCCCTCTTTTGGCTCAGCACACTGTCTCATGTCTTAACAAGGCTTTACCCCCAGCCAAATCTTAAATAAAAACCTTCCGAATCCGGCTCTGTACGCCAAACCAGATTGCTTTTTTTTGCGCTTTTTTTCGCGGGTGTGTAAGCATTTGTGTGTGTCTGTCGTGGATTTGTGAACTGTGTCAGTGCTCATGTTGTGTTACCTCATGTTTTTTTTTTGCCATTTCTTTGCCTCTCCCTCTCTCCTCCCTTTAACTCACCCCCGTCTTTCCTTATACAGCATATCAATGAAGGCCAGATATGTACTAGGGGAAGGAGGGTGTATGTGTGTAGCCGTGCATGGCTGAGCGCACTGTTCAATAGTGTGGATGCTGGCTGGCTGGCTGGGGCCGCGGCTGGCAAACGGCTGCAGCGGAGACTTCGGCTGGGGCTCCGCTATCGCACCCAGTTATCGTTTCCCCCATGAAGGGCTCCCTTATCACCCCAGCCCAGAGAGGTCTCCCTTCTTCTCCCATCCCCGAGACACACTCCCCCACCTCCTCCCTCCCAACCCACCCTTCCCCTCCCTTCTCCACCTCCTCCTCATCCCTCACCCCCCACCCATCCCCTCCTTTCATATACACCCAGCGCTCCGTCGTGCAACATTCAACCAGGAGGGAGGGTGACGAAGGAGGGAGGGCGATGAGGGAGGGGGGGGCTTCAAAGATTCTCTCTCACACAAACACACACACACCCTGGGCGTACATGGATGTGTGTTTGCGTGTGTACGCTCAATTTGCCAAAACAGTTTTTCCAGTGTAATTGGGCTTGGGGTACCTGTGTCCATGAGATAGCGCAGCCTCTTCTCCACGCGAGCTGCTCGGGCGTCTATGTGCCTCTGCTCGCTCTCCAGTGCAGACAGCTCCCCAACCACATACTGACTGGTGTCTTTGAACGCCTTCTGTCAACCGAGAGAGAGAGAGAGGGAGATAGAGACAGAGACAGAGAGAGAAAGAGAGACAGAGAGAGAATAGTTAGAAGAAGGAAGTATAGCTATATTAGACAAAGAGCTTTAATCCACATTTGTGAGTTCTACATCTACAAACCCACTTTATAGCCTTTTATTAACCACATTCCACTGTATTATTTTATTTTAACACTAAACACTTTGAAGTTTTCTTCAGTAAACATTAGTTATGTATATTAGGTGTGCTAATCATAAAGTAAGCCAACTTATTCTACTTTGATAATAAAGCACATTGAAAAAACTCAGAATAAGGCCACAAAATTTCTTTCTCTAAACTTATTGCTTATCAGTTTATTTATGTGTGGTCCATTAAATATCCTGTTTGGGGGGGGGGGGGACCTGATAAGCTACATCTTAACAACACTCATCTTAACAATGTCAATGAAGAGTTAACAAGGAAACAGAAAACAGGCACTCACTCATCACTAAACGTCTTGCTCACTTCTTAAAGAGTGCCAGTATTTTGTTCGCTTTTCATGCAACAATTTATCAGCCAGTGTTGGCCCTGTTGACATCAGCAGATTTGCAAACAAGATGGGGCTTTCCCAAAATCAGTAGCAGGCATTAATCTGTAGATAGTTAACACTACTGCATCACAGCAACAGAGCTCCACTCTACCAGCTGGCTAAGGCCTTTCTGTGTGGAGGTTGCATGTTCTCCTTGTGTCTGTGTGGGTTCTTTCCAGGCACTCTAGCTTCCTCCCACAGACCACAGACATGGCTGTTAGGCTAACTGCTGATTCTAAAATGGCCATAGGGTGAGGTGGACTGTGAGCACGAAGAACCGTATGCCTTAGCCCTGTGACAGACTGGCAACCTGCTCAGGCTGTACCCTGCTTCAGCCCAATGACTGGGATAGGCTCCAGTTCACAAAAGTTCTGAAGATATGTTATGTATTTATGTTTTGCTCACACTAAATGCTCATTAACCACACGTTAAGAGAAAATCTCCAAAATCCAGATTATAGTACTGTGATCAAAGATTCTATCACTGTATCATTGGTTATTTTAACACTAAACTAAACACTGAGCTTTTCCTAATAACTGTTTGTTATGTTATTGATTTGAATTTAAATACTGGACGATATAAGTGTGTAAGCCTGGTGTAATGTACGATGAGGTCAGTTATTTTCATAAACAAGATTAAGTAGTTATCCTGAGTTATCCTATGAGCATCAGTGGGGGGCAGAGGCTTTGTTAAACTTCCAAAACTGTGCAAGTCATTAAAACCACCATTTAGCCTTCAGCACTTTGAAGTCAATGTACTTTTGCTTTAGGATGTCTGCATATCCAGTTTATTTACTCCACACTAAATAAACTGGTTAAGATGATTATTTTACACACACACACCTCGCTCTATAACCAGACACTTAATACACACTCCATTTCTGACCTCTCTTCACCTCTGTCTCCAGGCTGTTTGCTATTCTTCAGAGAAACTCCTCTGAGTGAGGAAAAAATGTTTATTCAAATTCACTACTGAGGATGCATCCGAAAAAATATCTCTATTTTACTGCTGATGCACTTCATTTTTCTTAATGGGAAGTAGAACTAGAGAGCAGGAGAGAAAGTTTTTTTCTTTTTTCCATTCCACCCAGGCCAGCACTTTTTCCTCTACTCCTTCCAGCATGCGAGTGTGTGCATCTGTGCGGCTCTGCACACGTGTGATTGTGCAAGTGTGTGTGTGTGTGTGTGTGCTGATTCCCAACAGCCTTTCCCTCCTCCTCTTCTGTGCGCGCTCTCGCTCTATCACCATATTTTTCCTTGGCAAATCAATTTTACACATGATCAGCCCACTCCCCTTGCCGCGCTCGGCCCAGCCGTAATTAAGAGGAGGGAAATTACCATATATATTATATTAATGCAAACATCATTCAGCAGGTAATTCTTGGCTGATCGGGATAATGGAAAGGTTGAACACCCATTAACCCTGGGGCCCAGGCGCTGGGAGGAGGGTGCTGTGTGTGCGTTTGTGTGTCTATGTGGATGGGACTGGGGTGGAGGGTGCAGGGTCGAGGGTAGGAGAGGGCTGCTTGGGAAGAGATTCACCCCGTGGTCTCTGGTGGCACGCACACACATACGCACACACATAATAACATTCTTATAAACACATTCTTTGTGCACACTGCCTGGAATACAGTGTGAAATGTGTGCGAACACTTGAAGGACGTGAAGGCACACTTCTGTGCAAAGACAGAGCTGATATCTACCATTGTTATAATTAAAATGGCAGCCTAATAAATCAATACTTAGATGTGTGTGAGTTAAAGAGACGACAGTAGTGTGTGTGTGAGGGTATAGGAGTGGACAAGGTTAAAGTGGGGAGGCAACTTAAACTAGTAAGGTGACATACAGGAAATGGGGGGGGGGGGCAATCAACCACTTCACATCTGACCCCCAAGGTCTTTCTTTTCTGGAGAAAGACCTGTGCTACTATCACACTCACACACTAGTTTGGTGTTGCAAATGGGACAAAACTGTATACACTACAGAAAATATGAACAAACCTCCTCTTCAAACGGTCTGCGAACATCAACCTCTATGGGTGAACCTCTGTCCTCCTCAGCCTTCTTCTGATCCTCAGGAACAGACTTCTGTCTTTTCATCTCTGGAACAATGAAGTCACATACACTAACAGGTGAGAAATCCACCTAATGTCATTTCAGTCTTTATATTTTTAGCTTTACATGAGTCACTGGTCAAAATAATCCAGTGATCCAGTATTTGTGGGTTTACAAAAAAAACAACAACACAGCTACATGGATCTTCATGATTGGTGTGAACACATCATGACAGGTGTATGTAACCTGCTTAGAAAAGCCTCAAATCTTCCTCTTAGTCAGTCATTTGAGCTGAATTAAGTATTATCTGTATTACATATTATATTGTATATAGTAGTCATCTTACTTTCTTTATACTTTCTTTCTATACTTTCTTTATAAGATATTTTCTAACATTTTACAGATGACTCAGTTACATTATGCATCAAAATATCTTATAGTTACTGAGAAACCCCCACAGCTATAAACAAGCCTGCTTTCGAACGTTACTCTGAACAAGTGAATCCTTGTAGTCTTTTGAGGAGTCGAGTTACTGCTCCTCAAAATGTCTGTGGACGTCCTCAACAGTTAATTGCTGTGTGTGAATCAAGTGTCTCCGTATGCAAACATACCTCCTTGGGTAAACAGTGCATACATTGTGTTTGTGTGCTTGTGCTGTAACGTTCCCCCACCTGGTCTGCTCTCCACATACTGGCTGAAGGACTTGAGCTGTGTTTTCCTGACTGCAGAGTCCTTGTTGAAGACAACTGGGTTTCGCAACCTCTCCGTGGCTCTGCGCAGCCTCTCAGCTCTCAACTCCTCTGCATTATTCTGTCAGACACCGGGAAAGTCAGCGTTTAGCTTGGTCAAGTATTGCCTACTGACTCAGGAAGACAAAGACCATCAACGGTTGTTTCTATTTCTGTGTCAACTCTTAATTTGCAGTTCATGGCATCGCCAAACAAGGTAAACAAAGGGACATATTTTCGGTCAAAACTGCTTCAACACACAAATCATGCAATTAATAAAACTAACCGTGAAGTAAGGAAAGAAATGCAATCATAGCCTAGTGAGCTGATGATTTTATTTACAAGGCAAGACATGTGGAGAGATGGATAACCCAACTGACAAACACATGCGGCTCAAAGAGACGCGCAAAGAGAGTTCAGACTGCAATAACAGCTGGTGCACAAAAGCTAAAACAAACCAAAAGCACACATAGAAACAGAGCTGATTGTTTAATTTTAAATTACAGGCAATGGCAGCAATTAGTCTGCTGCCTCTTCAAATCTCGTCTATTATTCTGTCAGACTCTACCAGTCACTTAGATATGCTCTCAACCTTTTATTAGGCAGTCGTTTCAAGATTTCAGAGCGGCTCTGTGATTATTGTGATCAAAAACATACATGCACACAAAACTACAGCACTGTAAGTGAACACACCAACTGACAGGCCATGAGATAAATCTGGTAGAAGTTGATATGTTAGCTACATTGTGATTTGTTTGCATGAAGCCCTCTGAAAATACACACACACACACATACAGAGGCGCACACACTCATTCATTCACTCCCTCACTCATGAGAGAGACAAAAAGGAGGCAATTAACTTGACTTTCAGCAAAACCTCGAGCCAGAAAATATATTCAGATTATGCAAAATGCAAAAAAACGCTATTGTTTTCAAAGCGAACATGTGTTAGAAAGGCACACGCTCGCTTCTCCCGCTATCAAAAACAGCATGCAGAAATGCTTTATTACCAAGCCCCCCAAATATGCCAAGCCGAGTGGAAAAGAAACCGACTCGGGCTAAGATTGACGTCGCAGCAACGTTAATAAGACGGCGAAACGTGTAATAAAGTCGACAATTAGAGCAAACATGTTCCACTGCTTGAAACAGGGGGAGATAGTCAAGCAGCGTGTGCAGTGCGAGGAGGGCTAATAGAGACGGGTGTGGGTGGGAAACGGCGTGTAGACGGGGAGTTGTTAGTTTAGCTTCAGATTATTGACTTTCAAAAACAATGTCAGCAATTAGTCTGTTCTCACTTTGTTTTGTCTATTAGTCTGTCAGCTTCCACCAGCCACTTAAAAACCTTATGTCAAGACAAATTGAGGCAAATTTATTTATGAAGTGTTATACACAAAAGCCCAATTAAACATTTTAAAATGTGAGGACAGCGCTCGCATCAAGGCAACACCAAGGCGATCCAGAAGGATGTTTAACTCTTACACAGCCATGGTATTTTAAAAACAAAAACACGATAAAGTGGAAAACTTTATCAGTGCTCCTGCTTCCTTTATCTATGAGAGATATTATAAAATGCTCTTATGTCATTAATTATGGTTTTTAGTCACATTTCGGTTTAAAGGCGTTATGGCACCACATTTACACCTGCTCTTTATGCCATACTTGGTAGTTTAGAAGTGCAAACAAAGATCATCACCAGTGAGAAAACTGTGCTACAAACTGTCCAACTACCCCTGAAAACAGCGCGTTTCTCTACGGCCTGCTGGTCTGCTCTGGTTCTCAATCGGCAAATACTTCAGGAATGGACATTCACAATAAAATCTAAGTCTATAATGTTAAGAAAACAAAAACAAACAACCATGCCACACCATTTCCTGGGAAAAAGCATTTCTATGACACACAAATGTAATGAATTTCTGGGCTCACAAATGCCTCCATTGGATGACCTTAAAGTTAAATTACTTATTGAGGGAGAAGTAACGAGGAACAGTTATCAAAGGGTTTACTTCCCTCTGATCTGTCTCCTCTCCATTGTCCTATCAAAGTAAAGGTTTAAAAGGCCAAAAATATATTAAAAACAGAATGCACCACTGCATGTGTAGTTCATCCAGAGTGTATGATATTAGATGATATATGATATAAGGTGAGGATCTTGCTTCAATTTTACGTCTTTAGTTCTAACTAATAACAAAAAGTAAAAAAGGTAACAGTCGACTCAATAAAGGTTAAATAATTGTGCTCGATGTTTTTTTTTGTTGTTTTTTACTGTGTACCCTCAAATCATTTGCTGACATCCTCAACAGGCTTCTTAAACTCAGTCTTCAAAACTATGAGAATTTCCTGTTCTACATCTTCCAATTAATGTTGCCAAAATGTGTTTTGTTTTTCTGCAAAGGTTTGAACTTTGAGTGTTTAAACAAGAGAGAAAAGTGTGAAAATGTTCGTGCCTGTCTGAGAAAAGTGTATAAAGTGTTTAGTGAGGGGTTTACACCCTTAAAACATCTATAATAATTGTAAAAAATAAAGTTGGCTACCTCGCAGATTTCACGTATCGCGGGTTATTTTTAGAATGTAACTACCGCGATAAACGAGGGACCACTGTTTTACAGAGACGAATCGTGATGCCGTTTGAGATCACGATATTTTCATACTAATTTTTCAGTATTTTTCCCACCTCGAAATTTATTTTGCTGTTCTTTCTCTTAAATGCTCTTTAAAGTGTTAATACGATGAGTAACTCTAGTCCTTAAATCCCAGCAGTAAACAGAGACAGCAGCATGTATCTGCCCTCTGTTTACCTGATACTTTCTTGGGCTTGGTTACAGAAATAAGGTGGCTTCCTATTGGTTTTAGCACAAAGCATCACAATCACCCGCCAATCCTGGCTTTGCTAAATCAGCTTCCTGTTTGAGTGATTTTAAAATTTTACTGATTGTTTTTAAGCTTAAACTTAAATGGCACTGTGCTTTTGCCACCCAGTCTGACTTGTTTGAGTAGATGAGGCTGAGAGAATCGGTGACTTCCTTTATATCAGGGATGTGAAACTTATATTACATCATCTGCCACTTTAATCTTGGGTGAGCCAGACAAGTGAAGATCCCCCATGTGTCATTGTAAAGAAGTTTACCTGCACATTTAATCCTGGAGATATCTTAATATATATATA